GTCTTCAACAGTATATACCTGTGATCCGGTAGAGAGGCTGTTAGAGAGATTTTCCAGTCCCTAAACTCCTGAGCTAACTTCAGCGCGCCCAGTGTTACATCGATAACCTATTCTCTGACATTTTTACTGAAAGTAAGCGTATCACCGACATTCAAAACCTCAAGGTTCGTTGACTTTAGGAACTCCAAGAGCTCTTCACCTCGTCTGTTGGTGTTCGAGCTGACCTACATAGCATGGTATGTATTGCTGTCGCTCCCAATTACGAGGTCAAGTACAGAATCCCAACAATATTCCCTTGAGTCATAAGGAGAGTATGCCGAACCTACAACCAGATCCCTGTCAGCGCCTTCCTATATATATATGTTATATATATATATATATATCTAATTCTAACTGCAACTAAGTCCCAGAAGGTCAGTTCTTTAAGTTGCCACCCTCATCCCCGCTTCCGCGGAGGAGATCTCGAACTTATGTATGCCATACTTGTTCAAGTCGCCATCAGTAACCTCTAGGGTACGTTCAATCACCGGGCCCTCCTCGATATTTCCTGCGGATACACCGCTAGGACCCACCGCCTCCCTGTCCGTAGCACCCGGAGATTCCAGCGAGACCTACCTCGGCTGACCCATCCCAGTGAAGTAGCCTGGTGCACCGCAGCAGCTGCGGTCGGTCCTGATTGACCGTGGTCAGACCTCTCGTTTGGTGCCTAACCTATTCCGGCAGGTATCGCCTCAATTCTGACTTTTTCTTTTTGTTCAGGAGCTCTGCTGTTGCCGTTGGTCTCAATGACCTTCCAGCTAATGGAGTCCACTGAGGGAACAAGTCGAACCCCTTTGGGTTCCTCCGTCCTCTCCAGTAACCTTCACGCGCTGGGATAAGTTCCAGGATTGTGACTCCCCAGCCTCCTCGTTATGACCTCGTTCTCCACGGAACTAGGCCATCACGCGATATGGTAAGAAGAAAGGTTACCGAAGCTCATCGTAGTGAGCCTAGCACCTTCCCACGGCCGCAGATCCCCCACGTGAACCTCCAACCATGACCTGGAGGACTCGTCCTCGTAGACAAGTCACAGTCAATATACCTTAGAAGGGCCACCTCATCTGGGAGCCCAACTATCAGTACACTGACCGCCTTCTGCACCTGTGCCTCAGGGAATTAAGTCCCCGACTATTGTCATCCTGAGACCTAATTGGTACGCACGTGCATAGCTAATATGCGCATACGCCGCCGTACGGGGCGAAGATGCACCCTTCGGTGTCACAACCTGCATACCGCTTCCCGTCGCCTGTCCGCTTTGGAGCCTCTGATGACACACCGGACCGCGCACCTTCCTGCCCAGACGGCGGTTGTGTCGTAACAGCCGGAGCCCCACAAATGGTGCCTTGACCTTCCGTGCCTCCCACCATCCGCGCTCTTCTTTTTTTCGAATCCTGACCGAGATTTATTTTTGAGGTTTAGAGAGCCCACCCTTTCAGCGAGCTCTCTATTAAGGGTTCTGGCAGATTCATCTGTCAATCTACGGTCGAGGTCCCCTGGCGAGGGGCCGCCCGGATGTTCGGGGTCCACTGGTGAGGGGCCACCCGGATTTTCCCGGAGGTCCCCTGTTGGGAGGACATTAAGGTTTTTGTTATTATCGGCGTGGTCCATGATTGTTCCCTCGAATAGAATAGGAACTTCAAAGTTGAAATTTTTGTCTAAAATACGTTATTTTGATTTTAAAAATCTTAAGTATTCACAGTGCCACTAGAACTGTCAAGACAAATCTAGAGACACCTCATATGGCAAAAGCCATCAAGCCATCTAAGCTGTATATATAGCCCTTGAAATAGGCATTTTAAATTTTTTTTTTTTTCATTAAATTGAAGAGCAATCAATTTTTTATCACCGGCAACAAGCCCTCTTTCAAGATGAATACGAGTATGAATTATGGGACCGCCAATATGCCTCTTTTGAATGTTTCTATATGGACACACGTGTATTTCAATGAACATAGTGAAATGTGTGGCAGTATGAACCGACACCTTTACATAACCGAAAATAAAAAAGTTCTAAATTCAGTTTTTACGGATATACAAATCTTTAATAGGTACCACATATCTGACACGACCGTAAAATAACTAAACAGATGGTTTAAAAATCTCGGCCCGAACTTGATTTTTTGTTTCTTATCAAAATCAGCACCTTTCAAGCAGATCATTGAGATGTTTGTCTATTTAAAAAACCAATGAACGGCACTAATTGAGTAGCAAATTAGTTTGATTGCGCCTTTTTTGTTTTTTTTTGCTAAAAATCTCATTTTAGTAGTTTATGTGAGACAAGTCTCAAAATTTCGAGTGGTATCAATTTCGTTTCATCAACACTTTGCAAAATATAGCTTCAGACAGAACTCAAAAATCCGGAGTCAGATTTGTTTTTTTTTATTTCATTGTATTGTATTATGTGCGCAACGCCTTGTAAGTTATACTCTGCATTTATTATTTCGCAGAAATGAGAGCAATACGTAATATTACTCATTTTAACTAGATTTCTAATCATTGCTGAGAGGGGAAGCATAGCTGTGACAAATTCTCAAACATGACGCTACCGTATTTTATTTAAACCCGGATAATTTTTCCGACGCGCGAATATAGTATTTGGCTATCTTCGGGCAGAATGCGTCAATCAATGGTATAACTTACAGCTTACAAGGCGGTGCACTAAAAACAATACAAAGAAATAAAAAAAATTATCCGACCCTGTAATTTTGAGTTCTCAAAAGATGTTTTGCAAAATTTTGATGGAATAAAGTTGATAAGTCCTCGAAATTTTAGTTTTGTGGCACATAAACTGCTAAAAACAATATATTTTGTATTTGGATAAATCACCCTGTATATTTGTAAAAACTGAATTCAGAAGCCAATTTAAGCATTTAAGTACGGAACACTCTGTATTCTCCTTTGACGTAGGTGATTGTCGTTCTCCTAACATGTTTGTGTTCTGTGATGATCAGGTGACCATGACACAGATTCCACACATGGACCACGAGCAGCGTTGTCCCATTGGTGGAATTTCTATAGACTTGAGAGTTTTTAATATAGTGAAGTCAGTGATGAATATTGAAAATAGTAAAATTAGTTCGAAATTTTACATGACAGGTCAAGGTGGGGTTTGCAGGGTAAATAGATGCTAGCAAATTTCTACTCCATTTCTATGTTTTCCAGGTCGCTGATAACAAACATGATATCCATTTGTCAAAGTTCAAAATGACGACGTTAATATGGTGGACATACTATAGCAATATAGTTTTCGTTCGTTCGACCATACAGACGGTCAACCATGGACAGCTGTCTAGGCATGGTCTAGGCTTGGTTTTAGGTAGATCAACGAACGAAAGTTGAGCAACTATCCTCTAGAAAGAGTATAAGGTCTAACCAGATAAAATACAAAATGCCATCTTTCAGCAGATTCTACCACTGTAAGAGTGAAAGCAGCAAGCTGTCTGTTCTTACTGTATCCTAGTCGCAACTACTATAGCACCAGAATCGGCGGCATTTAGCGGCAACCGTGGTGACCAGGCTGACAATGCGAACTGACATACAGGGGTGCGTTTGTAAATCAGTTGGTAATGCAATACCGCACACAGTAATGGAATGTAGAGTGTCAGATGAAATTTCACTCTGGAATAATAATGATAATAATAATATTTTATTCCCATCAGTTACAAATTGTGAATAAATTGATGTGCCACAAAAGGAAAATATCCTTGTGTGGATATCATTATAACACATAACATACCCAAATAAAATAGTTTGGACTAAAAAAATGTACATAATATAAATGTAATACATTAATTTTGTATCGTAGATTATCAATGCGGAAAAGATATTTAAATGTTAGTTTTTTTTATAAATTACATCATGCTTATATCAGTATTGAATGGCCACTCATATAATTATTCTATTTTTAGTAAAGATATTCGGATGTTTCTAATATATTTTTGTAAGTTATGATATAATTTTGCAAGTATTAAGAGATTTATATGTTTATTTTTATTTTTAGCAACATATTCATAATTTTTATAAATAATTTATAAAATGTTTAAACTATGAATTATTGAAAAAATGTCAGATACATATTGTTGTCGTATAGTGTCATGTATTCACTGGCAAGTAATACAATGCCATATCATAATTATGCATAGCTTCAACTCGCAATTCATGTTGAAACATTTGATTACGGGGGATCATTTTAGGATATTCGAACTTTTTTGAAGTTTTGGACAGGCTTTTTGGTTCCTGAATGAAGGCTATGCATCCCCACGTCGATACAAATGAAGTTCAAGGAGTATTCACCCTCCAGCTCTATGACCTTTATAATAATATTCACATTATCTTGTTATGAAAGCAACAATCAAATCTATCCTTGTTCTTGTTTGCACCAATTAGGATAATAAACTACTAATACGTACTTATTATGATCATTCATACCGCATTAACTGAATACCTATAAATGCTTACATCAAAATGAGATTCATAGAAGTACAATGACTACACTTCCGAAAGAGATAATTCTAATTCTTCTGTTTTATAAGTTACCCATTTTCACAGTTAATCTTAAATACATACCAGAACAATGTATGTAAATGTCGTGAAGCGTGCGCGGCGGCTGACAGTGCACACTCCAACCAGACGATTCTCCAAATAATAAACTTCAGGTTAGCGTAATTCTATGATTGATTTATTAAGATTACAGAGCGGTACATCACTTTACTCAGACTATCATTTTGCATGTTTTGCCAAAAATAAATTTTTGACGAAAGAGGCGAATCCACTGAAGAAGATGACACTGAAACTCTTATATACATATAGAACTTAATGAGTCCTCGTCCAAACGTACTACATTGATAGAACGCGAGACAGTGCATGGTTCAAAACGAAAAACCAAAAATCTTCTAATTTCGTTCCAGGATGCCCGAACTATAAAACGTCGAAGAGGTTGCACTTTAGATATATATTTGGCAACACTGGCGAAAGCAAGATCCAATGATCGAAAACGTCAGTTCGCGACTGACTACATGTCAAGTTTGGACTTCAAATATTTATTTAAAGGTGTAGTTTTTACTTCAGTCGAATATTTGTGCTTTTCAAAATAATGTGATTATTTTCTTTCAATAGGAAACACAACCAAAATTAACTCTTATCCCCAATTGAACTATGGACCAATAGAATGTTACAACTTGAATTCAGAATGTGGGGACTCGGAGCCTTGAATTAGTGGATACCAAAAATGCCTGGGTTTTTCTGTTGGCGGTACCTCATTAGTTCCAGTGTCCAGTGTTCCATCAGTACAGTGAAGAATGACCAACAAGATGGGTTATAATATTGATTGGATAATACCTACCCTGAGGTGCCCTTCGGCACTATGGGGGATAGCAAGTACTCTAACTGTGACTGCAGTAGGGCTGTTCAGCAAGTTATTAATCCGTAATAGTATGGTAAGCAAAATATACAAACGCTTGGTAAACTTGTCCTTTAATTTTAGGTCTATTAAATAACACTAAGATCCATAATAAGAAAGTAATCACAGAAGTAATGGACAAAAGAGATAGAAGTATACCACTTATCACAGTATCTAACCATCATTCCTGTTTTGATGATCCAGGTATTTGGGGTAAGTTTCAGTTAGGTATATTGCATTATTATTTATTTATTACGTCATACCTCATGATTTTATGGATTTTTTTAAATACATGATGCTGCCAATGCATCATTAACTATATATTAAAAACTTGAGTATAACCAAAAGAAATTGTGTATTCCACTTCTCAAAACTGTGACAAATTAATGTGTTTACATAATAGATTTCTAATATCTTGGCATTGAATTTATTGCATACATTAAATTGAGTTACCAAACATTCAAGCAAGATCAAATTCCACATGTTTCCCTAAAATGGTGAATTGTTGAATGTTGTGCATTATAATTACATATTATTTAATTTGTAGTGTGAACTAGTGTTGTTAGAAAATTATACAACTTAAAACAGTATTTATTTTAAAGTGACTTTTGAATATAGAGTAAGATTTGATAAGAGATGAATAAAATAAAGAATGGTTTGGAATTAAGTAATTATATTTGCTCCATCATACTATTTAAGTATCTATATTTTATTTTTATTTCTGAATGAGGGTAGAACTAGAATAGTAGAATCTTTTTCATTATGTATAATTATTTTATACAGATTTTTTACATCTTAGTGAATAGATAAAGTAATATATAATACATCAATTTATAAAGCCTGCAGTTTTCTAATAAAAGCTGAAAAACTTATCTTGTATTAGATATAAAATAATGCTTATGGTGTGATAGTTACATCATACATTTGGTGTATGAAGTAAAACTTCAAGTTCTGAACCTCCGTGTGTCAAGTTGTTTGCTATTATGCTTCTCTATGGTTAAGTGACACATTAATTTTTAAGTGACCTGATTAACATATTAGGAAATTATATATTGAAATATAAGTTGTTTCCTTTTTATAATGCTCTCAATTGAGCCTTATAATTGAATGAGTTGTATTTGTTTATGTTGATATAAAAGATCCCATCACTCTAAAATTTTAATAGATAAAATATTATCTACTAGGTGCTTAAAGATGGTCTTCTGATGAATATCACAAGGTTATGAAAAATAATGGGATAACTTCCAAATACAGCCGAAATCATATTCAACAGGGCTAAACTATGAACCAATATCTTCAAAGTGTCACAAAGCTTTCATAAACCTGTCTCCAAGAAGACTGGACTAAAAGTATATCTAGCAGTAAAACTTCCACAATTACAATCAGACTCAGTGGCATGTACTGTTGAATATAAATTTACTGAATATGAATTACAAGTATTTCGAACATTTTCCATTTTCTTGATAAAGGAAATGATGACCTTATTATCTAGGAATGAATTTTCTGATTGCAACAAATTCTGCTTCATGCAATATCTATAATTAAAATATGTTGATAGCACAAGTAAAATGCTTCATTGCAGTTAGTGATTATTATAAAATATACTTCAATGTAGTATAATCATTTAGGATAAAAAAATTGTCATACAGATGTTCTGTGTTGCATAGAAACTGTGATAAAGGATACAAAATTTTGCAGGGCTTCTAATTTTATACATCAGGGTAATGTACTTAGATATTTCCTTAATAGTGCTCAATTATTTCCACACAATCAGTATTCATATACTGATCTCAAAATATACAGCTTTCTAAGTTTAAACTTCTTTGAACTCTCTAATAAACAGTTTTGACTTTGCCAAAAGTGATCAGTCTTGGAAAATGGTGAAAACAAACAATTACAACACTCCTCTTTTTTACTGTGCCTCCAATTATCAGAAGATTGAAAAAGATGCAAATATTAAGTTTGAGAACAGTCCCAATCTTCTTAAGTTATTTACTCTACCTCTGTCATTGCACCAGTTTTCGATAGCAAAGTAGCATTACTACGAATCAGATCACATTGTGGTATGCTCCCAAAATTTCTCTTAAAATCGATTCAGGTGCTTCTGAGATTACAATTCAAACATTAAAAAAATGACGTTTCCTGGAGCTCGAAAATAACTCTATTAGAATATTCCTTTGTTTATGTATGGAATGTAACTAAAAGAAGTCATACAGAAAGTAGGTTGACTGCACTTCCTTCGCGACGCCGTCATCAGTTCGCAAAGTTCCGCTGTCGGAGATCTAGCTATCTTCTACCGCTTCGCCAATGGGCTTTGCTTCTCAGAGCTCTCGTCCATGATGTCGTCGCGTGATTTGCCTGCAAGATAGATCCGCCTGACTTCTGCCTCCCATCCTAAACGAGTCGAACTTCTTACATCCAGAACTGGCCCATAAGACCCCTCATTTGTCTCTAGGTTGTTGAGGTAGTGGAACAATCTACAGGAGGCTTTTCCCAATTCTAATAACCTTAGGAAGTTCAAAAATCTTATTAACAAAGTTTCTTGAAGCTCCTCTTAGCAGCTGCGGTGCCCTGGCATTTAGGCATCTGCCTGCGCGGCTGCCGCGGTGTAAAATATTCAACATAGGAATTAAATGGTTCAAGTTAGTCAGACAGGCCCATACAATTAGTTCATAGACATTCTTTCTTTACCCTAATGCTAGTTGCTGTTCATCTGGCAACGTTATCCCTTCCTACATCTGCGTGACAGCGCCCACCATGGCACTGCTGCAAAGTTATCGTTCATTCCTTGTATATGTCTTGTGCTCTGCAGTACGGATAGATTAGTCAGCTGGACCGGTAGGCCGGGCGGTGAGATAGTAGGAGTATGTGCATTGAAAATTGCAAAAATGCTAACATCTGTAACATATACGAGTATGATAATTATCATATTCAACTTTTATCACCGATTTCAAAAATACCGGCTCGGATCTATAAAAAACATTATTCATAACCAGTGAGACTTGCAATCGAGGGGGTCCAAATCAAATCTTGTGGGGAGCCTCAACAAATTGTGGTGTAACCCAAATGGACGTAAAAATGTTTCACAAAAGAAGCGAAAGTGTGTGCATAGAATGAGTAAATAGTTATACAGGGCGTTCCTTAATGATATTCGAATATTTAAGGGTGTGAATCTGAAAATTAATGTTAGTTTGCTTTATAAACTATGGTCCAAAAATGTTTCCGTACAAAAATTCAGGGTGTTGAAGTTTTAGGAAAAAAATGGGAATTAGTTAATATTTTCAGAACCGCTTCAGATATTTCACTGATATTTAGTACGCAGTGAAACTTAATAAAGTTGCATATTTTTCTATTAAAAAATAATGTTTAGCTTTAACAGTGGCGTGCGTACGGGTATTGACTTCGATATTTTTTAAGAAAAAATGGTAGGCCAATGGTTTTTTGCCAAATAAAAATTATTTTTGAATTCCACGTTCAATTTAAAACAAATGATCTGTCTTGAATTGTTTTCCTTCGATGCGCCATTTTTGAGTAAAAAATAAAAACCGTTCTATTGTCTAACTTGCAAAATTATTATTAATTTAATTGGAAAAATTAAACACATTAGGGGTAATGAACAACAACAACTGACAACATAAACATGACATTAAAACCAACAAAATGATGACAAAAATTGTTGAAAATGGCCCCCTTCACTTAGTATGCATGCTTCCGCCCTCCTTCTCATGGAATTGCGCACTCGTTGAAATATCCCTGGAGTGTTTTTTATTCTATCACAAGCTGCAACTATTCTCTCTCTTGATTTCTCTACAGTGTTAATGGGACTTGTGTACACTAGTGTCTTAAGATAGACCCACAAAAAGAAATCTAAACTGTTGAGGTCTGGGGACCTTGGTGGCCATTCTCTTCAAGTTAGGCAATAGAACGGTTTTTATTTTTCTACTCAAAAATGGCGCATCGAAGGAAAACAATTCAAGACAGATCATTTGTTTTAAATTGAACGGGGAATTCAAAAATAATTTATATTTGGCAAAAAACCGTTGGCGTCCATTTTTTTCTTGAAAAATATCGAAGTCAATACCCGTACGCACGCCACTGTTACAGCTAAAAATTATTTTTGCATTGAAAAATATGCAACTTTATTAACTTTCACTACGTACTAAATATCACTGAAATATCTGGCGCGGTTCTGAAAATATTAATTAATTTCCATTTTTTTTCTTCAACACCCCGAGTTTTCGTAATGAAACATTTTTGGACCATAGTTTATAAAGCAAACTAATATTAATTTTTCATGTAGATTCTCACACCCTTAAATATTCGCATATCATTAAGGAACACATTGTCTATACATTGATTTTTACAATTAACGTTCCCCACGCATAAAGAAGTAAGGTGCTGTGCCCGCGATTTTTTATGCTTTGCATGCTTTACACGATTCTGAAAATATTTGGACGGAATCAAAAAACGTTTGGAGGACACAATTTTGAAAAATTGAGAAAATATGTTTCCATCGTTTCAAACTACCTCAAGCTAGTGTTATTGTAGTCAAAAACATTATTAAGGAGCGTGAACATTCTGATTCTTCAGCAATGCTGATTTTTTACTCATTTATGAAAATTATAATGTTCAAACATTTGTGCGTAAAGGATTTTCAACTTGTAGGTGTGGAAATTTTGAAAACAGACATATGTGAAGGAATGGAAAATACCGAATCAATTCTGTCTTTCGCAATGTTTTTTTTTTCGAAAAACTTTTTTAAATCATTCATACCTGAAAACGATCTTATTGTTTTAAGATATTCTGCCTTGGAAGATAGTACAAAAGTCCGATAGTCATAGTTCATTTCGAAAAGCCTCATCCATCTGTTGCAGTTGTAATCTGGAAGGTCAAAATCAAGAACCTTGATACTATCACCTAGCCATACAATCAAAGGATTTGGCGTGTGATTTAAAACTTGCATGAGATTGTAGATATCACTTTTTTTTCCTTCACACGTCGGCGCCTCTCTAAGCTGGTGTATTTTTGATACAGTTGCTACCTACGCCTCTGTTCGTCATCCGCAGATGTCAAAAAATGTGTCGCTTACCATGAATCTCTCGTAAATCTTGTACGAGTAAATAGATGGAGTTTTAAAAAGGAAATTTCGGTATTTTATGAAAATCAATAATAGTCTCATAAGTATTTTATACGTGTTGCAACTAACTAAACGATAAATACACTTTTTCATAGCCGTGAATTGTTATTATTAAATCTGTTGAAATTCAATGCACTGGTTTAACGGTCACCTTGAAAAATAATATACACTTCCTCCAAATCAGTCAGGCCAGGCTATACAAAAATGTATAATACACATATGTACATACTTACATATAAATATAATAACATGATAACTACAGCCCTTTGATTAGTTTAAAGATTATGTTTGAAGTTAGCCAATACAATTCAATGCCAACAATAATTTCTCGCAAAAATTGACTGTCTACTTTACGGGACAAATGTATAAACACCATAGACCAGAATTAGTCAAATCCTACAGTTTGTGCGAATTGTAGTGTTTATATCAAATATTCATCAATTTTAATAGTCCTAACATACATAAGGACAGTCCAATTATTATTTTATGTCATTTTAATATTATGACGCTTTAACATTTTTATTTTCTGGGATACAAAATTATATTGCATATTAACTATGATCTACTGAAAATTACAGTACAGTATTAAAATCCATTGATGCAATTTACAATGAGTGATCGTAGGAAAATGGAAATTTGGGGATAGGATACCCAAAAAATTGTTGAAACAAGTTAACAAAAGTAGAATCTCTGCATAACACACATTTCTAAAATTGATTGAATACATAATATCGTGAAACCACCTAGAATAGTACATATTGAATATAAATCAATACTAAAAATAAATAAATTATAATAAAAAAAATGTTTTAATGAATATCAGTTCCTCAAATTGCATTTAGTGATCGCTAATTCGAGTTTTTGCAAATATCTGTACACACATAGAATCACGAATAGTAGAAAAACATATGAACTGTTAACAGGTCTGGATGAGAGCTCCGTGCGACATAATAACGAACATGCATGCTTTTTTTGTATTTTCTGACAGTTATTTACGTTAATACATATAATACCGTACACACATATTTCATGAGAATGTCTATATGTATTTTTAATCAAATATTTAATATTGCGATCCCAATTATTTTGATTTAAACGCCGCATTTTCGGTACGCTTATTATAACTCATGATTTGTCATTTGATTGTTTTTTTATATAAAGTATTTATATGTTATGTTAATTACTGCAACTCACAGTGAGAACAAACGCATGCCATTTCAAATTGGACTAACCAATCAACAAAGAGTTGGCTGGTTACAAGTCGCAAATGGTGACATCACGGCACAATTTTATCAATTAATAATAATAACCTATACTACGGTATAAAATGAGGTTGAAGGCGTTATTCTGTAGTACTATGGACTGTAAATAAAAATAATTAAATGACATCACATGCATATTCCCTATTTGGTGCAGATACATGATGACACTTGCATTGACCTTGAATATTCAATGACCTAAGGGATTTAAGTCTGAAGATAGAGCAGACCATAAATCACCAGCTATCCAACGATCTCCGCATGTTTCTCTTGAAACCAGGACCAGTTATAGTGAAGTGTAATACATTAAGGGCTGACCTTTAAATATTTAAAAGAATTCGGCATTATGCGACGAGGAGATTGTGGTCTTGCATGTTAGCAGGACAGATCTAGTAGTTTTTAACCGTCTGAGCTTATTAAGAAGCTTCAACTTTGAGTTTTAGTAATACAGTGTTTTTTTGGAAATCTTCAGTGCACGCAATAATCTAGACCAAAGAATCACCACATAAATGTTTGCCATATGTTTATAAAACACTCTGTATATTGAGTGTGATTGTCTCTAGTCAGTACTGTCAAGTGTCGTCACGTACGGGTAACAGCGACCGCGACCGAGCTTGGGCCGGCAGGGCACGAGTATTACGTATCTTGAAAAGTGACACTTCGTCGGTTTTTTTTACATTTCGCAGGTCAAGATGTCAACATAGTACTAGCTGTTGTACACTTGTTGTGAAGTCGTTTTGTAGCTGTATGTATTGCCTAAACTTCATGGTGCTTCACCTATCAATGTTTGGCTTTGATGTAGTGTAACATCTGCTTCAGAGATGGCATTATTGGAGGTCTAAGTTTATACTATAGACTATAGCTGGAAGGAAGCGGTAGTGCATAGTGAGGATTTGTGTGCTTATAATCTGTGTTGATGATACTTCCATTGGTTTCTGGTCACAAATACACTTAATTGAGATGTATTCAAAGCTAGAAATTAGTTGCGCATCCACTTTTTCTTATTCATTCTGGAAATTACATATGCAAATTTGCTGAATTTAAAAAATGAGAGAGATGAGAAAAGAAAATCTCTGGTTGGTGAAGGATATTACAAGTAACAGGTGAGAAAATATGCTAATACGGGTGCTGATCGCCATAAATAACACTACGTACTAGCTAGTCGGATAGCCCACGCCACGCCTTCTCGCATCTATGAAGGAATGGCACGACGACCGTTTATAATATAGAACTTTCAGCTTAGCCCATAGAAACTATGACTGGCCTCCGCTAGTGCCACCTCTGAAGCAGATGCTACATTGAGTCAAACACCATGCCGGTAGCACATACTAGACGTTTCGACTACAGACACAGCTACTACAAGTGAATTATAGCTAGTACGTAGTAGAAATGAAGGCGTTCGCAAGTGTCCGATTGCATCTGACAAACGCCATGGCTTTCGTTTTGTAGGTACAAAATAAGAATGCGGTTCTAGGTTTGGATGCTATCGCGGCGCCGAACTACACATGGATTGTGTCATCTTTATCTGATTGCATGTTTATATTAAAAGTGTAACAAAAAATATGTCCCGTAGGAACTTTGAACTTCTCGACGTTATGTTCCTGGAGGAAGATGCGATGGTCATTGGCAGCCCACGATATTTGTTTCACGACCGCTGCACATTCAGTTTTCTTCAGTCTCGGAAAATGCATACCAGTTGTGAGAGGAGCGGGCGTTTACCAGGACGCAGTTGACTTTTGTATAGAAAAGCTGGCGGAAGGTGCTTGGGTACATGTCTTTCCAGAGGGTATGCAACTGAAAACTAACTCAGCTTAGTTAACTGTTGAAGTTGATCTACTACACATATTGATATGAGTAAAAAACAAATTATAGAAATGGTGTGGTTTTTGATAATGGGAGGCGTTTTGATTAGCTGACCAAGTCGCCTCACAGAATGTAAGGGTGATGAAACCTCGTATTGATTTAACCTGTATAGCACTCCAAGAAGTATGTACCCACGTACAAATTAAAACTGTGTGCGTGCCGAGAAACTGTCATAGTAGAGTTAAAATTAAAGAGGTTATTATTTCCAAATTTGACTAAAGTATTAGGTTAGCAACTGATTGTACTTAGCAATACACACAAAAAAACAATCAAGAAAACAATGAAAGCATCTAGGTTGGTGTCAAAATATATATATAAATCATTCTTATGTTCACACACCGGCAGCAGAAATTTTATTAACTCAGATATAATGAGAGGAAATTGTATTAAAAACTTACACTGGTTAATGACTAACTTGAGTAACACTTACTAGCTGAGACAAGGAAACAATGTTATGATAGTAAAATTCATTGGTCAAAAAACAAAAGTTCAATGAAACATATAAAAGAGTCAACAACATGCTAGGTAGAATAAACAAATTAAATAATTATATCCTGGATATTTATGGCCATCTTGTAGCCGATAGGTGCCAAGTAGTTCAACGCTTTGGGTAACTTTTTTTTTCAGGTTGTGTCTAATAAAATTTCTATTTATTCCGGATCTAACACATCTTTACCATATACAACTAATAATTTTGATGAAAATTTTACTTCTTCTACCCCATAAGAGTTAACCAAATATTAAAAACTATGAGTGAAATCAAGAACCAAAACTCGGAAAGTTTGGATGGGTAATCCTCAATATCATCAGCAGTTTTATTGAGGATATAGCACAATCTCCAAATTATTTTTGAAAGAATTCTTTGTAAAAGGATTGCTCATATTTCAAAAACAGGAATATTCTTTCTCATCCTCAACATGGATTTAGGTATAAAAAATCTGTTGAAACTGCTTGTTCCCATCTTTTTGAATTTATTTATAAGAATCTTTACAATGTGCAGTGTACAACATTGATTTCTTTTGTACTTGTTGATGTCATATAGTATATGATTGATACATCTCTACTGGTGAAGGTAGATGCTTTTTTGTCTGGAAATCATTCGCTGCAACCCGGCACTTCACGAGGGGATCGTGTTAGGCCTGCTCCTCTTTATATTTATTATCGATAATTAATGAGCATCACTGTCTGAGCTGTATTAAACATTCATGTATGCAGCTAATTGAACAAAGCCTATTACGACTTGTTAAGGCATAAAAATATATTGGACACCAAGGGACTGTCTAATTTGCGTTTCCACACAGTCACCTATCCTATGGCATGATAGTCATCGTGTATCCTCAGATGTGTTATTTTTTGTAAAGAAATTATGACTTAATTTCAGATCTATCACAAATCATCAGTGTAACACTATAACCGTTAACGTCAATCTCATTCAGAGGCATTCTACATGATACTTAAAAAAGTATCTAAACTACAAATGTGAAGTTAATAACTCACATCATAGTACTTGTATCTCATCAATCAATAACTATAAGAAATTCAAAGAGGAAGTGAAAATCTTCCTATTGAGACACGCATGTTATAACATCTTTAAATATGACGCCTTAACTTTTTTTACGTGTTTTCACTGTGTGTTATCTATATATTGTATCTACATAGTTTAGTTCCATTTTTACTGATATCATTTAATTGAATGTATTTGCTTAGTGGCAGTACTAGATCTATATTGAATATTTAACCGGTAGTTAACATTGACATTTATTGAGTCTGGTGATCCCGCGTACAGTATTAACCTACTTGACACACTTCCTGTATCAACTGAATATAGTTCTAATAGTTTTTAACACTGCTGCTTCAACTGATTCGCTACAAACATAAACAAATTGCGATGGAGAAGGATATAGGATTTATCAACAATTCTTCGAGGATACGACCGGAACTTTAATTGACATGTTTCATCAAGTGCAAACCGACTAGCGACGACATTTGCAGCAACTGCTGACGTTGATGTGTCTTTGATGTTAACGCTTGTATTTGAGTATACGTGCCGAATCGGATTGCAGTTGCCAGTTGCTTTCAGTGAGAACGGTCCCTTATGAAATCTAGGTCGATGTCAAAAATACCTATTTCTTACATGGATTTATCGCTAAGTTAGGGTTTTATTCTGTTTAGGCAAAGTGAACATGACAAAAGAAAATATGAGACTGAAATGGGGTGTAGGACGAATGATATTGGAATCACCAGTCACGCCTATTGTCTTACCAATATGGCACATAGGAATGGACGACGTCTTGCCCAACGAGCCACCATATATTTTGAAATTTGGAAAGGTATGGATTATTTTGACACTATTTTAATTAGATAGTAGACATTTGGGATAAACAACTTCTGTAGTTTTAATTGTCATTATCGTTCAGCTTAAATTTTCATTTTTATATGAGAAATGCCGTTTTGGAAGCCAAAGCCTTGTGGGGCTTGGTCAGCGATAGAAAGAATGATGTGACTAAGAAAAGTTAAAGTTGAAATTTCTATTTTTACTTTCCATGGCACACTGGCTAGGAAGTATTATAATCGGGAATAATTTCGAAAATGAGATATATTTTTTACATATTATATATGTTCATCACGAAAAACCATGTGAATCTATTTCCGTTTGTCTGTCGGTCTGTTCGCTAATCCTTGGACCGCATATAACTTGGAAAGTACCGCTCGGATTCTGATAAAATTTTTAACAGAAGGACGAAAAAGCTTTGTAGTTTTTAAAAGTCGTTTCAATGGCGGCGGACCTATAGGCAAAAAACAAGTAAATAAAAATCGCTCGAACCTCGTTTTTTTTGAAGAATTTTCAAGGGTAAAAAAATGGGGAGTAGGGGGGTTGTATGTTATATTAATACACTACCAACTCCGGTAATTCTAAGCACCCATTAGACATATTTCACACACCACAGATTTCCTCGTATATTTGCCCTTCAAAGTTACAAAAATATGTTCAGCAGACGGATGGCCTATCAGTCGGATATGCCGTGCGCCATCGCGTTATTTATAAATATTGCGCTTTTGTATTCCATCCGAGCTTCGCGGCCACATACGAGGTGGGCGCGATATTATCTGTATATATGAGCGTTATGCTTAGAGTGGAATTTAATTATGTTATTTGATTTCGAGTTGAAACATTATCTAGCATATAGTATATAAGTATTTATCAAGAGCTATTATTTTATATTATTAAACATTATTAGCAAGCAGTTTTACATCAGAGCTCCAAAGAAATGAGGCTCTCGTGTACGGATACGCTCATTTCTGCAATCTGAGGAAATTTTGTTTCATGAAATGCCCAAATAGTGCATTACAGGTTTTGACAAAACCTACGCCTTTTTGATATGAGATTGCACAACATGGAAAATTGTTCCAGAAGTTGTTTCGAACGCATGTAAACTATAGAGTCAACCTACTTGACGCACATTTTTTGCTAAAGTGCCTGAACATCAAAAGTTGGCGACAAGTGGCGACGAATTATTATAATGCTTCTAGAACAAATTCCGGTGACTTCTGTCACAAAGTTGAGCTAGTTCATATGAACTGTTTGATGTACAAGCTGGACCTTGTCTGCTGACCTGCCCATGTATACTGAGGAGTCGGTTATAGATGAGATAATATGCTTGTCTGCACCAGGGTCATTTGCATAGTGGATAATACGGTTTTACTGTACTGAAATGCTCATAAATCATAAATTAGACTTTGGAGGGTAATAAAAAATAGGTTATCAGAAAGTTTTTGAATAGTACTATTGTAAGCTACAAAACAAATTAGGTTAGTTTTATGTGATTGTTATCACTTGTCACCATTGCAGCAGCCAAATTTCTAAAAATATAAGCCTTTAAACAACGAATATTTTACACAGCAATTTACTGTACATTTACTTAGCTTATGCTGAAACTTTTATATTGTTTATACATACAATTGCAAAAATAGATTAATTATTTTTTTTAATTTAATTACATAAATAGGACTTGAGCTCTCTTGAGATCAAAAAATATAATTTCGCTTTCTCAAGCATAATTCGTTACAATTTTTTTATTTTTTCACTCATAGCTGAAAATTAGTGTTTATTTCTAAAATGAGCCGCTTTTCTCAGAGTGTTCTAATGATTGCTTTTATGGAGCTGACTTCCTTCAGATGAGGTTAAGTGGCTTTGTAAATCCGACATAATATATACAGGGTGTTCCAAAATCGACCCTCACCATTAGAATCTCGGAAGCTATAAGAGGAACGAAGTCGCTTCTATAGGGGCAAAGTTGCGTATTTTTAGGTAATCAACAAACTGCCGCTTAAAAAGTTTCGAAATTTAAAGTACTTCCAAAGAGAGACGGAAAAAACTGACTTTATTTGTAGTGGGCTTTCAAGATAACTTGCACATTAACATTGCCACGATTTCTCCTCTACAAGATGGCATAATTAGAATTTCAGTATGACGGTTCGTCTCTTGCGCTCCAGCATCAGCTTGATTTTTTCTTATGGACGCCATACTGCCCAGATGAATAGTGTTTTAAATTCTGATTTCAAACATGTATAATACGTCATACATTGGCATAGCCTAACCTTTCAAAAAACGAAGAATTTTCTATGTAGGCCTTGAAATTATCAGATATATTGCCTGCTGTCATTGTTACTTATTCTCTCTACAACATGGAATAGCCAAATCTTCAATTCCACATTTTTTCTTTAGACTTCCATTACCAACTTTGTTTTTTCATATGGACTCTATATTGGAATTTTGTACATTTAGATAGACTTTTCAGTTCTAAATCCAGTAATTTATTTCTTTAGTTGGCCTTGAATTTGTTGGATAAAAATTATAAGGAGATAAAAAGGAATGGTAAAACCTGAACAGAACATTAAAATTTTATTGATGGTAATAACAATAATAATCATAAATGAACAGAGGTAAATCATAGAAGATGTTCAAAATGTTCGTTATTTTCTGGCAAAGCCGGACTTTCCTTTGTACCTTGTTCACTGCTCGATTATTTCTCTTCTTCTGAGTCTTCTAAAGTCTGTTGCTATGTCCAATTTGAGGTCTGGTCTGGTATACGAGACAAATGAAATCTTATAATTTCAAGGCCTACCTAGGAAATTATGTTTTTCTGGAATAACTGGGGGTTGGCAATGTCAGTCTATGACATATTATATATTTTTGAAATCAGAATTAAAAACTCAATTCATGTGCGCAAAAATCCCATATGACGTCCATAATAAAAAATTTGATCCTGGAAGACGAGAGTCGAAACGTCATATTGGAGTTCTAATTATGCCATTTTGTAGAGGAGAAAAAGTGCCAATGGCAATGTACTCGTACAATTTACTTTGAAATCCCCATTTAAGCTGCTTCGTATCTCTTACAATTTCCGAGATCCCAATGAAACACTCTGTATAGAGTGTACTCAACTCGCGGCACACATAGGAATTTACCGAATTTCGGCAAAAGCATCTGGTGATATTATATTGGCAGACACAATTTTGTACATCACAGCAAAAACATGGCGGAGGATCTACCGAATAGATTTTTAGTGAAATTAGTGAAAATTAATTTTATGGGCTTTTTGATTTTTAATATATAATTGTAATTTTTTTTAATTGAGTTTTCTATGTATACGAATATTCAGGAGTATAATATACCAGCTAGCAGATCTTATTACTGAGATACAAGTTCATTTCTTGTAATATTGATAACTTTTTATTTCTCTTAAATTACTTGAGTGTTTTGGATGAAACTTTGTTAATCGACCCAAGACGTTAAGGGACTTAACCTGTATTGGTTATAGCCGACTCAATTAACCCAAGGACGGCGCTATCAATTTTGTACAGGATATTTTAACTGGGCACTCCACTATTTTTTTGCCAGTGCGGTAAAGAGAGTTTCAGAAGCTTAAAACAAGTAAGTTAAGAGTTTGCTCTTGAAAAATTCGCCGAATAATAAAACGCCTAGAATTAAACAGAAATGTAGGAATACCTTTGGATTATCCTAAAGTTATTCATCAAGAGAAGAAATAACATCAAAACCCACAATTTTTTGTTGAATTGTCTTCACTATACAAGTACTGGAGTATATTTGACTTCATACGGATCAGAATCTGAGTTCTACCGATATTCTTTTTTTTGAGTTCCAATTGATAAAACTCTAACGGTCTAGAATCATTTGACACCTTGTTTCTGTGAGTTTTAGATTTGATTTATAGCTGTAGACTACAAAAATTGCTTATCAACATACAAGCGGAAACGTTTTTTCATCTAAAGTTGCTTGATCATACCCATAGAAGAACAATTGGCCTGTGTAGTTAAAATTCGAAATACCCAGTTTGAATTTGATAGCGCCGCCCCTGAGTAACTCAGTCAGATATGACTAGTAACAATTAAGTGCCTTGATGGCTAGCGTCAGTTCACAGATTTAACAGAAATTAAAAATATTAATATTAGTAAGGAAGCCGTAAAATACAGGGTGCGGCAGAGAGGACGGACGTTTTTGGGATGGGTAGTACTCTCCGCCTCCGTCTACGAGAGAGGTGGGGAGGGTGCCGTTTGACTCGTGAGATCCTAGCATTATTTTACCAATTGTCGTTATGGAGCCTTGGACGGTGGAGCATCGCCTTTTCGTCTATGATTGTTTCGTCCGAAATAATGAGTCAGTCATCGTCGTACAGCGTGAGTTTCGTCGCCACTTTAACATTCATCGGAATAGAGCTGTTCCCTCTCGAAACACCATCCTTCGTTAGGTTGAATCACTTCGCAGGCGTGGTGAACTGATCAACAGAAGACCAAGAGGAGCGCCGCGAACAGTTCGAACTCCTGAAAATGTTGAACGCGTTCCACAGGTCTTTCTTCGCAATCCGACTCGATCTGCCCGGAAACATGCTGCTGCACTTCGCCTTAGTGATCGTTCGGTAAGGCGAATTTTGCATATGGATCTCCGCTTTCACCCCTACAAATTGGTCATTGTGCAACAGTTACATCCCGGAGATTATGCACAACGAATGAACTTCGCACGTGAGATGGAAGCACTGATCAATCAAAATGAGAACATCATTTTGTTTATGAGTGACGAAGCCCACTTTCACCTAAACAGCGTGGTTAATCAGCAGAATTGTCGTTATTGGGCTAATGAAAATCCGCAACAGTTACACGAAAGTCCGCTGCACAGCCCAAAAGTAACGGTTTGGTGCGCTGTATCGCAAACTTGCATCATTGGCCCTTACTTCTTCGAAGACGGTAATGGTCGTGATGTGATTTTCCACACTTGACTGTCTCAAATGCTATTTCCTTGTGAACCTGATTCCATCAATAAATTTGTTTTCGAGTAAAAATTAACTATTTTATGATTTTTTAAAACCGTCCATCCTCTCTGCCGCACCCTGTACATAAGCTTTGGAATCAATGAAATAAAAACAATTGGAAATCAAACAATACAAAATTAATGGGTAATCTCAAAACTCAATTCAGTGGTTCTAAGATTTAACCCTAAGAGAACTCCATTAAATAGTTGACACCACCCTTCTCACAGTTCGAGTGATACCAATTTTTTTTTTCGCAAATAATTGTAGGGTTTTTTTAATTTTCCAGAACCTGACTTTCAACTATGGCGATCCGATAGATCTCACAGAAATGGTGAAACATTTACGCGCGAGACGCGCTAGCGACATGGAAGCCAGGAAAGAAATCACTGATCTCCTGCAGGATACTCTGTTGAAGTTGAAAGAGGAAACAGAACGGTTACATAGGAACAATTTTAAGGTGACAAGGTTATAGTGAAGGATGTGATGACATCGTAACGAAACATATTAATTCCCGTTTTTAGGATAGGTGAAGGACATGGCAAGGTTACGGTTTTACTTATAAAAAAAGAACGCCTTCATGCTTTTCGACTGGACATGGAATATAGTTGCACAGGGTACGGATCAAATGTTGCTTTAGAAAAGTAAAGACTAAAGGTATCTATAAATGTGATTCGGCAAGGCACAATCATTTAGGATATTTGTTACCCTGTATTGGAATCTGATGGATCTAATTTGGGTCCAATCATGTGTCCTAGCTTTTGCAACATATTTCCTGTGCCTAGTGCATTTGTATTTTAATTTGAACTTACGGCTAGGTTTGCAGATGTCCTTAAGTTAAGGGCTGAGCATTACTCGTAGGGATTCCTATTAACAAAGAAATATGATGAAAATTATCCAGTTGAATGTGGTTATTGTTTTATCCAATTCACCAATTTGTAGCAGCAATTATATTTATTCTATATATAAATAAAAGTTGCAGTGATATATTTTCAAGAAGAAAGAACATTTTCTCAAACAAAAATGATATTAAATTGGCTTAAGACTTAGTTTTTTACCATAGCCTGTATTTTCCATTAGTATCAATTTTTTTAGCTATACGGGGTGTTTCCTAATTGAATGTTTAAGGGATTGATTTTTGGGTCCATTTTAATAGAAGGGGAAGTCCAATAGGGGATCGTGGAGATTTACTCGAGCGCGGCAGATTAAGATAAGGAGGGATAGCTTGCATCCTGTTTAGTACCTCCACCATATATAAGCACTTTATACAGGGGTACATCTAGGGCAACTGATCAGAATAGTAAAAAATCAATTATTAGAAATACCCCGTCAGGCGGATAAGGTGGGCAAATGTTGTAAACATGTTGAAGTGTGTGCATTCCAGTAATCTGGCGGTTTGACTGTGATGCAATGGAGTGAGAGGGTCACAAACAATACCTTATAACGAATGAAGATAACTACATGCGGTTTTCACTAGTATTCGAAGAAGTTTTCATAAACTTTCTGAATCGATCTCTCAATTTTTTTCAGTCCAACGTACGGAAAAAATATTATGTGATCAAGCTGAGAAACGGCTTTTAATATTTAAGCGAAAACCGTGCATCGGATTGAAATAAATCAAGCGATTAGAAAACACCCTGTATATTGATATCGAATATCTGCATACTTATACTTAACCATGGTCTATTTTAAGTTTTAAAGTAGTGATCTATGGGCTGTGAATTATAAGACGTTTCCAATGTATAATGAGATATACAAAAATATTCTGATTTTGGAATAGTGTCTTTACAACTGAAGGCTTATTTTATAAGTTTATAACTTGGTTCATGGATGAATTATATACACTATTTGACTTGAAATGGCAGTCATGACAGACAACAGTAAAATAATGCCTTATGTCAAGTCAGACTAACCTACCACTGTATAAAAAAATATTTTTGTCAAAATAAAAATAGGGGAAGAAAGGGCAAAGCGAAAGACTTTAGCAGTTTTTTTTTGTCAGTGATAAGTTAAAGTTTAGGGATGCACTTGTGTTACAAAATATTCTGTAACAATTCGGTCACTTCATTTTGAGTCAGTTAGCGACATATTAGTAAAATTTTTTGCGAAAATATTTTTTTTAAAAACCCCTGACATTTTCCATTTTGCCCCCGGTTACAGGGCAAAGTAGAAACCGCTTCTGGACAAAGCGGAAACTACGTTCGGACAAAAGGAATATAACAATAAATAGGTACAACCTTATTTATATGCAAATTGTTTTTATTTATAACAATATAAAAATTATTTTAGCTTACAGATATCGCAAAATTATGGTTTTCTCATACCAGATAAATCTGCGCACATTTCATGTGACCATCCTTTGCAAATAAAACATTCTATCCAAGTCTTAGTTGGAGGATCTGTATATTCTTCTCCACAAACTAAAACTAAACAGAAAAGCCTTTCTTCATTATTCGACCTACCAGGCTCGTTATTTCCCTTTCTTATTGCCTTGGAACATTTAGTTATTTTTCCTATTTTGCCTGGTAGATTACATTTTTTACATTTTAACTTTTTCTCGGGTTTCCAACATAACCTTGTAAGGAGAACTCGTAAATATCTCAGATTTCTCAAATCTTTTTTTCCTAGTTGCAATAATAGCATGCGCCGCCTTTGATGATACCAAACATATTGTTTTTGAGGGGAGGCTATTGAAATAGATTCGTCTCGGATGGCAACATTATTTTTCTCCATATGATTGCAGATTTAGTTTTTTTCTGGCGTTTTGTTAATCACTTCATCGACATATTTGCTGGAGGTTGTTCCTGAGGGTCCAGGTTGGTCAGACTGTTGGCTATCTCACAACTAGCAATTACTAATCGAATATCTAAATCAGTTAGTGAAATATCCTCGTCTGAATCTGTATGGATTGCTTCAGCTGAAATCTTAACTTTATTTCTAATCGGGGATTGGTCCACTTTATTTACAGTAGGAACCTAATGAACTGCAGCAAGGGCAAAGTCAATATCCGTGAAAATATTTCTATTATATGGGAATATTCCACATTTCTGGAATACGTGTGTAGTACTTTAAACAGTAGCACTTTTTTCAAATGCAATTCTTACTAATTGTGCTACAGAACCGGACCACCGCCTAACAATCTTTCGTTCGTTTCTATTACCAAATATCTTGCATGGTGGAAGGAATCGCCCAGATTGCAACAGCCTGTAATGGTGGTAAACTGGCCTTTTTCCTCAAAACTTATCACCCCTACTTGTTTTTTCTTTTTACCAGAGAGGACCTTGGGCGGTTTATGGGCAGATGTTTTAACCCCAGTTTCATCCATGTTAAAGATGTCATCTAGACGCTGCAATAAGTTGAGTTTTTCGAATATGTTCCACAAGTTATCATAAAAAATATCAACCTGTCTTCTGTTGAAACCAGAGCAGCTAGCTATACTTGTAAGTTCAGGGGTACGAAAGGATAAATCAATATTCCATGACATGAAACAATTTAGCCAGGCCTCTTCCGTCTTTATATTTTCAAATGGATGTTTAATATCATTTTGATCAGCTATTTTGTAAGCCAACTCCTTTAACCCTCGGGGAGGCGCATGACATGTATGGAAAATAGTAGGCGCGTTTGTCTGAGACCGACTTTTATTTTGAAATGGGTTTCTATTTTCTGCAGCATATTTGATATTAGTTTATATTAATTTATTATCTAAAACACGGTAAAATAAACCACATCCGTTGAAAATCATAACTTTATTAATTAGAAGAAAAAAAACTGAATTCTAACTGAGTTTATAAAACGTAACTAACAAAACGCGTAAACATTGCATAACTGAAAATTAACTAAATTTTGTTACAAGACCAATCAATCTGCCTAGTAGTTTTCTTCATCGGTTTCGGTGTCGGGAATATGATTGGGAAAATATCCATCAAATATTGCAACAAGCTGTTCTAGGCACATAAATTTCCCACATTTGCGGCAATGGAATCGAGTTTTTCTAATCTTTTTCGAGCTACAAATAGCACATCTTCCGGTTTGTCCCTCGTTGATTCGGTTTACATTTTCTCTTCATGAACCTGGCGCATCACGATTTCCACAAATTTCCTGCATCCGCTCTAAGAGATTTAGGTAATCTCGGATTTTTCGAACGTTGTTGAATATGTGAAACAATAAGTTCATGTGATAGAATCTGTAAAAACTCACGACGTCTCATGTCGTGGGTAATCCGATTGTTAGAATTGAGTCCCACTAAGGAATTTAGTGCTTCTGGCCACATTATAGTTACTGCATAATTTATCTACAATATCTACACCGCCCTTGGTATTATTGTAATTGGATCAATGTCGTCATCGTGATGTAAAGAGGATACAAGTAACACGTTTCTATTTTTCTTTGGGATATATAATGTCAATGTACAGTAGGTGCCAAATGCAAACATGTTACTTCCAGGTGGAGATTCTGGTTTAGTAAACTCTACAGGTAGCTCTTTAGCTAGTCTCTACAAGTGGTATGCTTGTAAACCATTTGTCGAGTGTCACATTTCTCGGACTTAGAGGGAATATATTGGCTGAAACTGCATTTCCCTCTGAATCGCTCGAGTTTTTCATCTACGGTCACATACATCGACGGACTATATTCAGTTTTACAATTTTCCACAAAAATATCTGAAAACTCTCTAATTGGTGCTAACTTATCAATGAGCTTTTGTATCCTCACGGGTTTGTTTGTTGTCAAACCTCAAGCATCGTAGCAGAAACAAAAACCTCTTGATTGACATTGCAAGACGAAATATTTCTATTCCTGACCCATTTGAGTTCCACAGATCCTTTACGTTCAACATATTGGATTTTAGAACATCAGCATAGATTAGTAAGCCCAAAAAAGCATAGATTTCAGTTTTGTTTGTCGACAGTGCATCTCTACTTCTTTCGAAGTTACTATATATAGAATTTATGTATATATTAGTATGTTCGACTATAATATCTACCATAATATCATTTATAAAATATTTAAAAGCTTCTAAAGGGGTTTTCAAAGACTTAGTAGCTAATTTTGACGAAGATAAGACGGTGACTATATTATCTTTTTTGGTGCGAACGCTTTTTTTCGGAACAATCTTTTTCAATTTTGTAATTTTGTCCTTTCGTAGGAACTTTCATCATCAAAAACCTCTTCACTTTCATCATCCATAACTTCTTCTCACAAACGTCTGAGCCTTTCCTGTTCTGCTTCATAACTCGCCATATCTATAAGAGATAGATCAAGCATTTGAGGAGCAAAAATTCAAAAGGAATAATATCCATTTTTGTATATTAAGAGAAAACCGAAGATTTCTGCCAACTCTAAAAAAAATGCGAGCGCTGGATTTTCTCTTCACAAACTCAAATGTTATGATCAGTTAAGTAAAAAACTATTTACAATGGAAATACTAATTTTAGCTTAGAGCTGTTATTGTTAAAAACAATTGGATAATGATCTTTTTGGTGCAAGCATGTGGATAAAAACCTATTTGAACAAAATATAATGGGATATTATCCCATTTGAATCTAACTAAGTAGAACTACTTGGAATAAGAATAATGATCATTGTTTGATTCAAAAATGTATTACAAAAATCACAGAAATGTATGTCATATGGCTACTCCACCATCCTCTTCGTTGCAGTCACAATCGAAGCCATCATCCGAATCGGATTCAGGTATTGTTGTACCCACATTGCACTCTGCCAAAAAGTCTTTAAAGAAAGCCAGCCGCTCATCATGTTGCCAATTTTCATCGTACAGGAATAACAATGTTTTCAGATTTTTCAACTTATCTTCTTTTACTTTATTCTTTAATTCCTTTTTATTTAATTTAATTGCTTTTAAATGTCTCCCTCTTTTTGCAATTGATTCAAATTGTTTCGACGTATCATCAATCCTAAAGTTTAGTTCCATTTTAACTTTCACGACACCTTTATTGTCCTTATTAAAAATGATCCGTTTCATGTCCTTTATTCCAACTAACTTTTTTAGGTCTTTATCCAATGCCTTGTAGTCTTCAATAAACCAATCTTGGCCAAGAATTTTAACCGTACCAAATTCACTAAAAATTTCTCTGTATTCTTGGTCATTCATGATAACTTCAAAGGTCCTAAGACGTTTCTCTAATCTTCCGAACACCCTATCTGCTGGTAAAAATGAGTGACCTCTAACTGGGAAAGTGATTCTAATTTCTTGGAGGGAAGTAGGTGCTGCAGTCGTAAACCAAACGGCCAATGCGTACATTACATACGAATTCTTGTTTTGGCCTGCACAACCATCCGAAAACAATCTTAAGACTTGGCAATCTGGCAAGACATTCGAAGTGAGAAAATTAATCAAAGCAGAAGCTACTTCATTGGCCCCTCTCTTACCTTGGGTTTCGTTCCATGTATAAAAAAATGGTTGTTTGGTGCCGTAATCAGTGATGCAAATATTATAAAATGACAGCTGTCGTAAGTAATAAGCCTCTCCTATGGGCAACTTTGGAATATTTTGCACCTGTTGCATATCGAAACAAAAAACTTGACTATTTGGTTCCTCCCGTTTCATTAAAATGTTGAACGGCTTGGCCCTCAATTTATGAATACGTAATTCCGTCATGACTTTCATTTTCTCAGCACCCTTGGAATCCGCAAGCTGCTTTTTTTTCCGGAAACAAAAACTGCAGACGTCAGATGCAGGGCGACCAAATCCAATATTAAAATTATTCCGGAAAATATTGTAGAAGAAACTTAATTTGACCTTCATATTGTCAGTTGTAGTCGAGTTGTACATTTTCCAGAGTCTGGTTATGTTTAGGTCTGCCGGTAGATACAGCCTTTTTGATTTCTTTCTATTATAGTGGCTCTCCCTTGCCTTCAGTTTTCCAATAAATTTAATTACACTGTCTCTCTTTAACTGATTTTTTGCTGAACGGTGGTCCCCTCCTCTATTTTCCTGGATATCTCTGCCTGACATGATATACCTAGTAATTGTATGCAGTCTCTTTAAAGAAATACTGAAGGAATTTACAAGCATTTTCTGACACACTCTGTATGTAGGACCGTTCATCGTATTCATCCTGTATTCTGCTGATAAGGCATGCTTCTGATCCCTACAGTTTGGTTTATATTTTTCGCGTCGCCTTCTAGGTATATGAACCTTACAAAAGTACGAAATTTGGCGGTCCTGTTTCACCTTGTCATTAGTATGGAAAACACGTTTTCTAGTTGCAATAATATCCCCTTCGGCAATTTTCATGCAATTATATGTAGGCCCATTGTGTGTACAAGGTCTCTCGAAGTTTTCGATATTTGGAAAATGATCCTGATATCTGAAATAATGAAACAAATACGTAAAGAGTATCCTAACCTCACTTTCGTAGCTTACCTTAAGCTCTTAGCTTTCTGTCGTTTACTTATAGTTCGCCCTCTCTTTCGACTACCCTCATTGCCCTCACTAACTAGGACTTCTTCAGAATCCATTATGTTAAGCATAAACAACGATTTGTACGCCTACGAGCTCATGAAACTACTTCGTAAACAATGCTCGGAGCAACGCGTGTATGGATAAAAACCTTTTTGGACCATTTTCGTACGTTTCATGCTATTCATACAGGATAAAGATCCATGTGAACCAAACGTAAATAAATCCCCCTTTGAAAATATAATTTTGAGGATAATATTCTTTTTGATTCAACATACGTATTTCGACAGCTAATTCACAAGGGATAAACATCACTTTGGAATGATACGAACGCTGCACTATAAAGATGTACATTCAATACACGTAACGCCATCTGTATCTCAAAATGAAATTTTTTGGATAATATCCCTTTTGAATTTTTGCTCCTCATTTAGTTCCAAATATAAAATAAAATAGCACACAAAAAGGCGCGTCCGTCTCACAGACCGAACTTACTACTACACCCACTTATTCTAACGCCACTAACAAACTGCTCAAGGAAATCCTTTATCTCGTCAACCTAGGAAGGTGCATGGTGGGGGTAAATCGTACGTCGACGTATCGTTACAATACAGCACTATTTTAATCGGTTCGGTCTGTGAGACGGTACGCGCCTACTCTCGGGTTTTAAGCTCTCTCTGGTTAAACCATAAAATATAGCGTCTAATTCTCGAGCGTATTCGCTAATGAGCTTTTCTAATTCCGGACTAAATACACATCTGAATCTTCCTAAGTGCTTTTCTTTAAATGGCAAATGTAAAGTGCCAATTGGAGTTTTGTATTTCACTGAGGCATATGAAATGGAAGTTACTCGGCATTCTTCCGTTGCCAATCGCATATTATCTTCGGTCCATGTCACTTGTGTCGAAGTTCTTTGAAATTTATTCACCATGCTGAAAGAAATGAGACATAACGTTAAAAAGTATAAGCTGTTGTGCTGAGGGCAAAGAGGAAAGTTTCTGATTTTCCCGCACTTTTAGATTTCCACTTTGCTCGCCACAACACGTAAGATTTCCTAAGTTATGAAAACAAAATAACTACCAATGACTGCACCGTTTCTACGTTAATACAACAAGGAGATATGGAGTTAGTTTGTTGTAGTAAATAGTCCTATTTTTAATATCTTTAGCACTATAAAATTGGCTACACACTTACCTTAATATTTTTTTACCTGGAACCTTATACAAACAAGCACTCAAAACACGTGAATAAGCAAGCAAGCCGTGCAGACCTTATGCGCTCTCTATCGGTAGGAAGCCCAAGTTCTTGCGTGTAAAAAATAGAATACTGCCTTGTATAAGACAAAGTGTGAAACTTGGCTTTCCGCTTTGCCCGACCCTTCCATTTTGCCCTCTCTTCCCCTATAGCTTAACATGGAACTGGGACATTACTTTCCAATGGTTGTAAGCCAACAACATCCGTGAAAATATTTTAAAGATGACAAACTGAAACAAATTAAAAAAATATTCAAGGTTTAGTATATTACAAAAAGTAATTAAAGCATTATTATTTATAAACATAACACAGGTGTATATATATATATATATATATATATATGCATATGTATTTAACGTACTGTTGTCCGATATTCCATTTTACATAAAAGAATCGCAAGTGGAAATATATTCCATATAAATAATGTGACATATTAATTCTACTAGAATATTTAAACTTCTTGGAATTCTTAACGCAGAATTAACTTTCAGTCATTCATGGATGTGTTAGCTATAGGTCAGTTTATAGTAAGTCAGATGAAAAAGTTAAGTTTATATTAATGTTTGTGTTTTATATTTTTTAATTAGTGCAATTGATCGTTTTTAAATATTTTAGTTTTTAGCAAAAAATAAACAGTTGCTATTGCTTATTATGCAATTACCAGATTTTATGTGTATGCATTATACATTAGGTTTTATTTAAATATTGGCAAATTCTTCTTCTGAATATGTTGAGATTTCTTCATTACAGTTTGCATCATTTGAAATTTCGCTGAACACAGTAAAAATGGCCATAGCATTGTTGTGACCATTTATATTTTAGTACAGAAAATTTTTACCCTTCATCATTTGTATTGCATAAATCTATGCATGTTATTCTCGAATTGTCAGAAATTTACAAGAACATGTATGTCACGTCTACTGATCATTTGGGTGTAACGTATGTATTATTTATTATTGACAGTAAACGTCTAGATAGAGTTCACTTCTTTTTCTCAAATAAAGCCTAGTGTATGAAAGACGGTGTACCATATTGGTAACGGTTTTGACTAAATTTGAGCCTGTTCTACCATTCTAGTAACAATGAGTCAGTTAACTGTTACACTGTTTTATTTGAGAAATACAAGTGAATCTCATTATAACCCACGCAGTATTATACCCTGTCAAACAATGATCAAAAAATATTTTCTGATCGTCGTTGGTCCTGCCGAATTTGGTTTTTTCTAACGGTAGTCATTTTATATCTTTTAAAACCATATTTACAAATGTCATTTGATGAGCAAAACCTAACCTTCCATATGGGAAGTAGACAATTTGGTACAGTCAACTATACTAGTCATAGATAAATATGTTTGCCATTATAAATAAATACTTGTATAAAAGTGTAAGTTTAGATACATTTCATAGTATGGAACAAAGCTCTTCTGTTGTTCAAGGAATGTTAATGATACCACCGGCTAGAGCTGGGTTGGACCTGAAACAGTCGATCCATAGGAATGATACATTATTAGGAGTCGAAGGAATCGATTCCAATGATTTCGATTCCGATTACGGTGATTTTGATCCCAACTACGACGGTTTTGATTGTGGCATCTATGATTGAAACTTGGATGTCTTGAAAACGGGTCACAACTAATTTGAGCGAACTGAAAGGAACGATACCGCTCGTATTCAAATATTGCTGCTACCGCTTTAAGAATAGGCGACCGCGCGGTCAGATTGCATCCGCTTCAAATAAAGAACGAGCCAAAAGATAATTTAGTATTGAGTAATGGACCTTGAAGTTTAGACGATTGTTGAATTTATGTTCATCTGCAATTTAATGTTTTCAAAATTATATTTTTAATGTTGGAATATTATTCCACGCAAATACGGAATGACTTCAGGGAGGGGGCAGTGTAACAAGAATGAGTGATATTACTAGCGACATCTGTTGGGAACCGCACCAGGGACTCTCGTTCGGCATCGACGCGAGGTGCGAGAGTGACTTCGAAAGTTCCGGTACTGTACTACTCGCATAAACGTAACAATTTTGAATTTAAATATGGCTTATACATGTTTTCACATATACATAATGAAAAATCCTATGCCTATATAAGTCCTCCGTCTTTTAGAAAGCAGGTTCACCCGTGAACGATGTAAGCTTAAAAAGAAGGATCCTTATTGAATTTTTTACTGGATTGCCTCCTTTAGCTGTGTTCCGGTTACATTCGCGATATGGGTAATTTCCACTAGTATCATTTTAAGGTAGAAAATTGGCTTTTTGACTAATGTATGTAAGAATAATTTACTTGAAGAAAATTTTGAATAGACATATTGTGACGGTTATAATATTTGCAGTCGATGTCACAGGAAGAGTAAAACACAAAATATTGTCGACATGTTTTGACCAGGCGCTGTATGGAACTGAGTTTGCAAAATGTGAGGACCACACTTAATGAACGGATATCAATTGAGAAGAGGTCAAAGAATAATTATCCGGATCTTGCCGGGCTACTTTTTTCAATCCTCTCCCTCTTAAGTAATTACAAAAAAGTTCTTTTCGCTCCCACCATTTTTTTTATTTCTCGGGTCATTCGGAATAAGAATTTTGGCCTAACAAGCTAGCTTAAAAATTGCTTTAAAATAAAGTAATCTTGAAACTCTCTTCGGGTCTTGTGGAGGGGCTTTATCTTCAATTTAGAACTTCCAATAATCCATAATCTTCCTCTTAATTCTATAGAAATGAATTATTGTAGGCTCGATTTTCGATTGTATTGTAAAACATACCATCGAGCATTGAGTGAGCATCGATGTTTTAGCGAAGACAATCTCGCAGTTCAACTCAAAACATGCGGCCGGCGGATCGGTGTTATTCCGTGGCATACATAACCGATGTTTCGGACTTGCGTGAATCGGGATGAAAAAAATTGAATCGGAATCTTGAACGAATCGAAGGACTTAATTGCCAGGCCGGAATCGAAAATATGAAGTCGAATTACCAGAAGGAACGATTTGGCCCAGCTCTACCACCGGCAGTACTTCGCCCTTTCAATTGTTGTAGCAAATTAGAAATGCTCGGTTTAATAGATTTTGCGATAGATAAGCTATATTGCCAAATGGCATATCGATTTATGAAGAACGTATGAACAAAAGATGTTGGACTTGAATGTATACTTGTTACACAGTAGAGAAGTAAACTGCCAATAATTAAATCTGTTTCTGTTATTACTGGAGCATAGGAGTAAATGAGCCTCTTACAAACTCCCGATTCCCAGACCTACTCAGTTTGCTAGAACTATATCGATGGTGATCTGATAGAACGACGTAAGCGCCATTCACAAAATTTTACAGGAGAGGTAGAAAACCGTTTATTTTGGACTCAAAGCATTTAAATACCCTGCTAAAGATTATATATTATGTCTATAATAGCGATAGAAATGATCTAATATATCAAATAGTATTGGAGATCTCTCCAAAATTCAAAAAACGCATATTTTATGTCGCTTACGACCTTTTACTGGCATCGTTTGGTACTTACGTCCAATGATACGGTGCTTAAGTCTCTTGCATTATATGAATTCTTGGTCATACCGGTGATTACGCGGTACATACGCATCTTATTGCAGTTTGTCGACAGACATTGATGTCGGATACGCATTAATAAAACTTGTGACTATAGCGTGGAAACTTGTTTGTAGCAGGTAGAGTTGGATGGGTAGAAAAGAATTTGGTGATCCTTTTTAAAGAAAATTTTTATTTTGTAATAACAAAAAAACAAAAAATTATTGTTTACCACCTTGGTGTAAAATATAACTAAAACATCAACTTTGATAAATAAAAAACTCTCCTCAAAACAAAAATAACTACACCTGTCATAACAAAAAGTCTAAAATGAAAAAACATGTTTTCTTAATACTTTTGTATTTCAGTCTTCAGTTTCATCATTACATTCTTCGATATCAGTTTCAGGCAGCGTGTCTGCCACGCTATTATGCCCTTTCAAAGAGTAATACTCAGAATGATATTGTACATCAATTGTGAAAGCTTTACAAAGTTCAATTAGGTTATCATATTTCTTTTTGTTTATCGGTAGTTCGGAATGATAAGCTTTAGGCAGATTTTTCACAGTCTTTGTCGGGAACAGTAGGTCAACGTGTGCTTGGTTCTCATACGTTGTTTTTATTTTTACATAGGTATTGTCTTTATCAAATATCATCTCGGCAACGTCAGAAATTGTTATGTCGTTCCCTTGTGCATCTTTCAGTCTTTTTTGTGAAGTAATGCGTTTCCAGTCTATTATAGAAGAATAATTGGTAACCTTCACGTTGTATGGTTTCGGTTTAGTTCTGGCATTGCGGAGTATCGTTGGCCATTCTGATGGAGCCTGTATAAACAAATTTTTCGATTTTCTTTCGATAGTAGCATGCATACTATCTACTGGCATGTACGTGTGACCTGAGACTAAGTATGTTATTGTCAGTTTCCTTATAGATTTTGAGATACTTATGAAGTACGCCAACATACAAATCATATACCTGTTTTTATTTTGTCCGGGACAGTTGTCACAAAATAAGTGCACGCTTGTTTTTTCTTCTTTCTGATCCAAATGTAACAGGTAGTCAAAAAGATGAGAACATATTTCATTCGCACCCCTTCTTCCATCTTTCTCGCCCCAAAAGTAACAAAACGCATTAGCAGTGACACTTTCATAAATTGTGAAGTTATAGCAAGCATATTTCCTCGAAAATCCTATCAACATACTTTTGCCATGAGGAGTAGTCAGTACTTTTTGTAGGTCAAAGCTAGCAATCAAATTAGCCGAATCATGGTTGTCTTTCTGTTTTTCTAGAAAATATTTTTTCGCACTTTCTTTTTTTTCAATATGTCTTAGAAAGTCGAGATCTTCTTTGCCATTCTTTAAGTTACTTGGTAAATGTCTGTAACGCTCGCATTTAATGCATTTATCTTTTTTTGGCACATGTATTCCTATGTTGTATTCTTTCTTTATGATTCTTTTAAAACTAGAAATGCTCATTTTATCAGTATTTTGATGAGAGTACATTTCATACAAGTTAGTAAACGTCTTTATATCAGAAGGTAGATAAAGCTTTTTAGTTGAGCCCCTACAATAATGTGACGGTACAGCTGGTAGTCCTTTGATAAACTGTTCAAGAAACATTTTTTGAGATGCTGTAATACTATGTCTAGGATTATGCTTGCCTCTACCATCGGTTATAGCTTGTATTTTCCCTAATATTGCATTCCTGATAATTCTTTGCGTGATTCCAAGCGTAGCTATAAAAAATTGTTGACATACCTTAACTTGAGTATTCCCCTTCATGAGGTACTGTTCATATGTAAACGTTCTTCTTGATGTAATCTCCAAAGTTCGTTTTCGTTTAACATAATCTATCTTGACGCATCCATTTATATAAGCTTTTTGAAGATTTCCATCACCCATTGCCCAGAAAGCATCAAATAATGCATGCCTTTCATCAAGACTGAAATCATTACAACTATTTTTGCATTTTTTACCAAAACATGGATTTGGTAGTAGTACTTTGGGGGGTTTGGTAATTCCTTTGTAGGTTTTGTACTGTAAGCCATGAGCCTTCTTTTTTTTATTTTTCAGCTTACGACTTGGTCTTTTCTTCCTTTTCCATGTCTCAGATGATGTACTGCTAGATGAAGATGATGCTGATGATTCACGGTGATCTTGGTTTGGAGATTCATCGATTGCTGATTCACATCCAGATTCTGATGAGCTGCTACTATATGGTACAAGTTTTTTTGTGGTAATGCGCTCATTATTCTGTGTCAGATCCTCTGGTACCTCTAGTTGCTCACATTCCAGAAAAGCAGGGTCAGGAATTTCTTCAAGATAGATAGCGCCTTCGGTCATGATTTCATGTTCGGTGGTCGTATATTCGACGGATGTATTTTCAGTTATGTTTCCTGAGCTGCTTTGAAATATGATGTCGAAGTTTAATGCCTCGTTGATCATAATATTATTGTCTTCCAGGTAACTTTGATCAGTTTCATCTTCCAGCGCCATGCTCACAATTCGTTTTCCGCGGCTAGACATTCTGAAAAAAACACTTGCGTAAGCGCCACATGTGAATGAAATTTTAAAGTTGATTTGCAAATTAAATAAACCGTTTTTATAAAATCCAGCAATCACTTTATTTCAAGTATTACTCATATTCATGCTATTTGATTCAATATAACTAAATACCTTCATCAGTATCAAGCAAAGTGAAAATAAAGGTTACATAGCGTTATGACGCTTACGCGTTTGTACTTGAACAGACTGAATGCGTAAGCGCCACATCTTTGTGATCATTATTTACAGTTACAGAATCATACTAAATGCTTTAGGATGTTGCAACAACCACTAGATACCCTATATAAACCAAAATATTCCGATAAACCTTATATAACTTACCTGTATCAGGGCTGGAGGTTGAGAGCACGTGCTGCATAAGCGCCAACTTGACTGAGTATTTTGAGGTTATGGCTGGTGCATTGTCGCTTACACATACTTAATTGCGAATATCTTGGTAACGGCTGATCTGTCGTTTACGAGACCACCGGCAATCGACGCGGCGTGTTTTCTTCTATGAGTAAACATGAAAATCCCAATTTCCGAATTTTGGCGCATACGTCGTTTTGTCAGATCGTCATCGATATATATGTGCCGGTAGGATTCGAACCCGCTTATCCTCCATTCCACCCAACTAGTCTACGGAACATCCAACTTTCAGGGTGTTGTTTACTAAATATGCTCGCTCTTGCGGATGCTCTCATCCGAAAAATCGTATACAGGTATATCCATTACGATCGCCCATTCATTCCTGACTGTTTTAAACGCGTCTCAAAGAAATGTCCATTTACGTTTGTAGGGCTTGTCTTCGTGATTACACGAGTGTATTAAAAAAACCCAATTTGTCAAGTGTAATTCAACAATTTTTAGTAATATGGCTTTTGTTCGGTCGACTACAGGCGGTCAACCATGGACAGCTGTTTCGTGCTACTATTTGGAACTTTTCAGCATGACGTAGGTTTGATCTTAGTGGACGACGAGCGAAAGTTCAGCAACTCTACTGTGTTTAGAGTATAAGGTCTATCGTAAACAGACAGCACAAAGTGTTAAAACAGCAAGCTGTCTATCGGAACTGTACGCCATCTAGCGGTCACAGTCATGACCCGGCTGACAATGCGAACTGGCTTGTGCTCTGTTCTGTCTTATTTCTATCAACAATTTTTATCTCATCGCATCTATGAAACTTATCTTTCTTCTCTCCTGTCTTCCTCAATAGAGGGTCATAACAGAAAAAATCGGACAATTTAGGCAGCATGATATTTGTCTTCCGATTATATTAGACCTGAATACAATTATGTCTTTCACATGGCACCAACTTCTCATGTGTTCTCAATGTTATAAAATTGGTTAGCATTGGTAAAGGCAGTGTGAGTACGAGTACATTTAGCTTCCCTTATTCAATTCATGTAAAATTGTTTGTATCGTTTGTCCATTTGTGCTCGTTTGTGAGATGTAGCTGTCTCTATAGAGCAATAGGAGTTCAAAAAGAAACACTATTGAAACATTAGACTAAAAAAGTGTTATGTGGATCATTGTTATGGCCTGGACTTTAATAAAGCTAAAAAATGGTTTATATATTCGAATAAGTGTAACTCAAGATGTGAGGAAAAGGGTAATACTTGCTTGGAAGTTTCATTGGTCAACGCACCCATTCATATAAAAACGCAAGTACCAGCTGTAAACTTTTATTTTATGTTAATTTTTCTGGGTACTAAAAATGTATATTGCACCTCATATGAGCCTTATACTTCAATGTACAGGTCAGTCAACTAGCAAGACGCTCATAGTAATTTAAATATTTGAGTATTATTCCAATATACGCAGCATATCTATAAGCGGCAGGCTTCAAAATATGCAAGATACACTGTCAAACTTTTATTCGCAAAGAGTGTAGGATTTTATAAGAAGAGAGATATCCATGTGAAAGTAGTTCTAATGATATAAATTATAATTTCATGTAAATGTAAATAATTACGTAAATTCATGCTTATTTGTTATAATAAAATATTATCCGACTATCAAAATCTTCCTCATGTGATAGTTGCTTACTAGTTATTAGCATACATGAAAAGGGATGATAGAATATTGTCGTTGTTTAGACTAAAAATACGAGGCTAATTGTAACTTAACTTGGGATGGAGTACAAATTGTGAAATTATTCATATGGAACTTGCTAATTGACACAAACCTAGAATAATACACACTTCTGAGGTTCTGATTGTCACATTACGATATAACTCTAAAAATAAAAATCAGGCCATAAATGTGTTGGACACGCATTAAGCGTTCTAGAACCATTTATACGTATAGATAGAATTCTCAACTGGTCAATATATGGTTACAAAAAACTTTGTAAATTTATTTTTATTTCCTTTCTATCCCTTACAGACCATTCCAAAGTACTGAACAGGCGCAAAGATGAAGAAAATGTGATGTATTTTCTATCTGCTTAGACTTGCATTTACAAAGTAATGACGTCAAGTGGTTGACTCTGCACTAACCACTCAATGCTGTCATCAGTTCATAAGGCATTATGTTTATAACAAAATATATATATATATATATATATATATAACAAAAATTAAACGGATCAGGCCGATCAAACAGGCTCATACAATTAAAATTTGCTTATTTAGCATGCTTTTGGAGATTCACAGGATTTGACTACCATTGAAAAAATTTGCCCCACCTCGCTCTACAAAAGTTTTGGAGGCAGGTACGCTGTAACACAAAGTTATTTTATCGGTGATTGAACCTCCCTCTCCCTCCTAAGAAAGATTCCTTCGAGCATACATGATCGTTGCTATGACTAATGTCGCGTGAATGACGATACACGACAGCGACTGCCGACGGCGAAATACACCCAGCGGCCGGACCGCACCCCACGTATCATATCCAGACAGGAGACTGAAATATTTCTCGGTCATTCTAAGTATTAAGGATGAACGTCGGAGAAATATATGATGAGCGAAATATGTATGTCTAACTATGTGCATAGAATTACCGGGACTGGAGGCATATAAATATACTAAAGTAAAAAAATCGAGATCTACCCCCTCTGAAATGAGGCTTAAGCAACTTTAATTTATTTTTCGTTTTTACCTAGTTCTGCCTCCACTTTACCGATGTGCAAAAACTACAATAACTTTTCGTCCTTGGCATAGTAGCCTCGTGTGAAATTTTTATTAACATCCGAGTAGCACTTTTCTGATTTATGATATAGACGAGATCGACAGAAATGGCTTTTTGTGAAGTAGATATATCTCCTTCTCGCCAGTGGCCAAACCGTTCAAATCTTCAAATTCGTATACAGGGAAAATCAAATTTCTCTGAATGCTAGAGTTCAATGTGTACGAAAGAGAGAAGCGCGAGAATTGTGCATCAACACATATTAGAAAGAGATAGAAGCCGGCTGAAGAGCGACGGGCATCACCACATTGCCTAGCAACGGTGACGCAGAAGGTCATGCAATCTGTCGCGTTGCCAATATGTTACACCAGAAAATGTTCGCACAGGCTTCTACAATAGGTTAGGTTACTGTCAAACCCATTTTGATTAGAATTATTTATTTCAATTTTGATGCGACTTCGTGTTTTAATTTACTTTAGAATTATCTTTGATTTCCACCGATGATGGTGATAAAATTCAACACATCCTGAGTTATTTTTAAATTTTACGACAGCGAGCAGTCGGAAAATGTATCAAATACCATTACGCAATTCAAAATATCTGCGTGTACGCAGGTGAAAACCATTTCGATGCAGGACGACACTCGGGTACGAGCGCTAGATCATGGAGGTGGTACCTTGCCTTGGAATGTATGAAATGCGGTGTTATCAAACCAACCAATGTTGCAGAGTTTGTGGCGATCCTGAGCTTTCATTTCGAAATAAAATGAAGCGCTGTTAGGAGCGATCGGGAATCAATCCTAAACAGATTCGACGCAATTCAAAAATGTATTCGCTCAATAAAACCGTTATTTGAGCGTAGAGAATAAACAAAAGTATATTTTCAACATACATCTTAATTCAAGGAACTGGTATAACATAGTGGCGATGCGGAACATTGCCGCGTCAGCACTGCTAGGCAACGCGGTGATGAGCTTCGATATCCAGCCGACTTCCACCTGTTTCAAACATATGGGTCTATACACATTTCTCTCTCGTACACATTGAACTCAAGCCGTTTCAATACATGATACTTCTTACATAATTTGCAAAGAGCAGCACAAGCCTAATGAAGGTAGATGTTTCCACAGGTAATTAATATTATTATGTTGATACGACACAGTAATCAAATCCAAGCGAATAACCAAAATTTCTGTGTTATGTGCCGCGGTTATAATATGGTTCAAGATGACACACGAATCGCTTGAACGCGTTGGTTTTAACCGCGGTTTTGTTGCAAGTTGTTTATTTTAGAAAAGCGCGTATATAATCTTTTTTATTTTTATTATCACTTAATAATCGGTGCTTTTTCGTCTACATCTGTATATGGAAAGTTTAAATAAGAAACCTTTCATAATATTCATGGGAGAAATGTTTTTTCAGATTTTTTTTTAATGATGGAGCCATGGCTTTGTAGCTATGATAACTTTCAATTCTCTAAATTTTTCCGCATGTCAAAGAAAACATTTATTGATTCAGCAGAAATGATGAAAAAATAAATTAGCAAAACCGTATACAGGTGGATATCATCTAGTGAGTTTATATGGCCATATTTTAAAATCCTTGTGGAGTATGGCTACACAGGATACTTTGTTAAGCATAGGAACTACATTTAAAGTGTCCCCAACAACTGTAATGAGTATAACTAATAAGGTGCTCCACTTTATGGTAAAACTGAAGTCAGCCTGTATCATTTTTCTCAATAATGAAGCTGAAGTACAATAACAATATCCAATACCCGGTAAAATTCTAACTTGTCACATTTCAAATAATAACCAGAAATATAAAACTACTCTTGAGTTGGGTAAATACCATAATTTTGCGGTGATAACTATGACATATATCAGCTGATTCGTGACGTCACGGATCTTATAACCAAACCGATAACTACACTCGCTTGAACGGATTGGTAAATACCAACCCAAAACGGTAAATACCATTTCCATTTGGTTATCCGCTTGAATTTGATTAGTCACTTTGGTACGCATCATGATACTATGACTATGAAGGTAAGCTCACTTCGCGGTCGAATTTCGTACGCCTTTGCGCATGACGTCACGCGGAGACCTATGTTTGGCCCGCAGTACGAAATACAGTGTATTCAGATACGATTTAGATGTAGATTTAGACGTTGTGATTTCAATATTTGGGATGTTTGATTTATATTTTGTAGTGTTTTTAATGTCACATGATTGTTTTAGTATTGCATAGTATGCATAGATTTTATTATTTATGTTTTGATGTACTTGTCAATAGAATTTAATGGAGTTTGTCAGTTGGGCCGCAAGTAGAGATCGGGCGGGTCGCGCGTTGGAATATATCATTATAGATAAGTTATGGGTTTTAAAAATGAACAGTAACATGCCACCAGCCGTTTAATAACTAAAATTTGTTGTAACTCTAAATAAAGGGGCTCACTTTATTTATAGAAATAAATAATAATTCATTTGTGCATTTTTTCAGCAGAAAAAAATAGATGACGAATATGTCGCATCTCATGTCTTTATAGTGTTATGTATAAATAGGTAGTCTACTTACATAGTTTTTCAATATTTTTATAGATAGGTGACAATAAAAACCTCATTCATTGGTAAACAGTTTTATTTAATTTATTTTACAATATTCATCGGTATAAATACACAAGTCTTATTAATAGAAAACACAAAAGAATCTCACATTTGGACCATATTGGCAAAAAAGAATATCTCAGATTTTTCCCTAAAATCTTATTTATTGGTAAACAGTTTTATTTAATTCATTTTACAATAGTCATCAGTAAAGATACAAAAGATTCATCAATAGAAAACACAAAAAAGTCCATTTCGAGCACATTGGCAAAAAAAATCCCAGATTTGTCCCTTTAGGCGCCTCAAATTTTATATACTAAGTGACGAACACCCAGTTTAAATGGTTTTATTTTAATAAAATTTTGTATAAGTATTTAATGAAGCATAATAAGTAAATGATAAAAAATTCAAAATGATTGCACTGCTTTAAAGCCCTTTGACCTTTGACCTTTAATAATGTGAGGATGCACCCTGATGTGCTACGCATTCTCCAACGCGCCTAGGCATGCTTCTGATCAGGTGGTCAATGTCCTCCTGTGGTATCTCATTCCAGGCAACCACCAACTCCTCTCGAAGTGCTTCTAGAGTCTGAGGAGGACGTTGCAAATTGAGCAATCGCCTACCCATCACATCCCACACGTGCTCAATTGGGGATAAGTCGGGAGATCTTGGTGGCCAGGGTAACAATGTGACATCATTATGTTGAAAGAAGTCTATTGTGACTCTTGCAACATGTGGTCGGGCATTATCTTGTTGGATAGTTGGATCTGACAGGGTGTCAAGATAGGGTAAATGAAGGCTGAATATTCATTTTTAGATCGTTAGTGAATTAAAAAAAAGCAGTATAAAAACCGGAATGTCCAACTGATAAGGCTGAACATTTTTTCACTTGTTATTTACAGTAAGATAAATACATTCACCAACTTTTATTAAAATAAAACCATTTAAACTGGGTGTTCGGATTTATATGTATATCACTTAGTATATAATTCATTGCACAATTTTCAACTTTTTCCTTTTTGCAACCTGGGATTTTTCTTTTATGTGCCTGTTCAAACTCCTAATTTTAAAATACATCTTGCAACGAAAAAAAAGATGCTTGGCATCTGCACTCAAGCTAACTGATGCAGCTAAATCCATCAAAGATTTCAGATCATTTTTGGTTAATTTCAATGTTTCCCCATTAAAAGTGCCGAAAATATGGTCAAGTTCATTACATTTGACCATAAAATCGGCATTTGGTTTGAATAAACCACCCTCAGAGAGGTGGTTAACCCATGAAAATGATGATTCACTGTCATCTGGAATAACACCTAAATTTTCTTTTTTCCTTAACCTATATGCTATATAACCAGCCAAATTTTCTAAGCCATCCCATTCTAATTCTTGGAGATGGTCAATGATTGTATCCTCTGGATCGGAATCTTTTTGTACAGGTTCATCACAATTTGGTACATTTAAAACTTCAAACATTTGTCCAGTAACAATTTCAAAGTCATCGACATCATTCTCATACACATTAAGGTCCGAAATACTACTTACACTAGCGATTGCAATATTTGGCACGTCCCGTATGGTAGCAATATTTGCTGATTTGGAAATAATGTCGTCATTTCGTCCCATGATGTAATTGCGGAGTCTATATTTGAACTGCAGAGCAGTGGGGTGATCATATAAGCCTCCAATTGCTCTAATTTGTGAAAAAAACCTTCTAAGGGATCCTGATTCAAATTATAAGTTAATAGATATTTTATACCGAAATCCTCTTTCATGTCATAAAAAAGCTGCTTCAAAGACTGTATGCTGATTATAATACCTCGTTGAAACGGCAACAACGTGTTAGAGCCGACTTTTCTCAGATTTTGCATTGTTTTTTCCATTGACTCTAAAATTTGATTTTGCTCATCTAAAGCCAACCCATATGCCTTTACACGTTCCCTTGAATCACTCTGAGGTATTCTCGAATTGAATACGTCAAACCAGTCATTGGTGATCTTTATTAATTCTGAACATTCAACCCAATTGTTTTCACTTTTGAAAATACCTAATGATCCCAGCCTTGAAATTGCTTTTGATACTGTGTGTGAAAACAATTTGGTTGCAAATTTAACTTTTTGTCGTTGAGGACCCTTAACTGTTAAGAAATCGGTATTGATTTTATGTGCAATATTTAAGTCTAAATTTTGTGTATTTTGGAGTAAATCTACAATTGGTTTAGAGGTTATAATCTTTCCATTCATAATAAAACCATCATCAAGAAAGTGATTTCGCAATAGTTTAATCATGTGTGGTGCATCTGCAAACACATGTACTCTTTTTTGGCTTACAGGATTTGTGAACCATGTTCTTTCTTCTGTTATATTCAAGGATTTCCATAGTCCCCTGTTACTACCTCCTAAATCGGAATTAATTGCATAAACTGGGTATCCCAGATTTTCTAATTTGGAAATGATTTTAAACAAAAGATCCTTCGTTATTTTCCTGTCATAATCATAAAATATGGGCTGCTTCCACCTTCCACATATTCCACGAGCCATGACAACTTGCACATATTTACTGGGTCCTAAGGTTCTGTCACTCTTCTTATCATATTCATAACAGCTTTGAATTTTCATTTCATCAAAGAGTAGGACACATGCTTTTTCCATCATTGGCAGAGCTGTGTCTTTTATCAGTGTCAGTACTGTGTTAAGTATACCTGAAACAATTGAAGTAGTTATATGTTATTCAATCTTAGTTACATGCATAATATTAATCATAAAAATTAATAAACAATCAACAATGCTGAATGACTAAAACATGACATTAAACATGGGATGAGAAAGCTCTGAAGAACACTCACACTGATGCAGATCCTAGAATGTTTTCATCAAATTACATATTCAAATATCTATAATTTGTAAAAAGCAACGCTGATGGTTTTACTCTTCATGGAAGCAATCATAGTTGCACAATTGTTAACAAAGTATGTTTTCAAGTATACCTAGACAAATGACCAATACAAATCTATACCTATCTATCTATCTAAATACCTGGTTCAATATTAATTTTACTAGCCCATCTTCTCAAAGTGGATACTGCAGGAAGAGGATAACCCCTTTTTCTGAGTAAGCGGTATGACCTGGGACCACCTGCATATAAGGAAATAGCTGAAGCTACATCTCCAAC